ATTATGGCCGGAGACTTTAATGGGACAATAGATCGTCTAGACAGAAAACCACAAAAGGACAACGAATTCAGCGGAAAATTGCCAAAGAATTTTTTTGAATTAGTTAAGCAAGAAAAATTAGAAGATGTTTGGAGGAAATGGAACCCGATGCAGAAAGACTTTACTTTTTATTCCAATAGACATTGCTCTTTTTCCAGAATTGATATGATTTGGATGTCTGAAGAATTATCAATGAAAACACATAAGACTGAAATTTTGCCAAGATGTAATTCAGATCACAATCCGGTGGTATGGAGTTCCACAGAAAGGAAAAAACCCTTTCTGTGGAGGATTAATGAAGACTTGTTGGATAAGAAAACGGTAATTGAGATGTTAAAGGAAGAAACGAAACAATTCTTTCAACAAAATTTAAATAAAGAAACACCGATACAGATTGTATGGGATGCTTATAAAGCGGTGATGAGAGGAATTCTCATCTCGCAAAACGTGAAGCAAAAAAAGGAAAAACTTCAAAAACAAACAGAAGTGTTAGAAAAAATTGCTCAGAAAGAAAAGGAATTAAAAAAGAAGCCTGGAAAAAAGCAAATTATTAAAGAATTAAAGTTGCTGAAGGAACAACTGAATGAGACTTGGAATCAGGAAATGTATTGGAATTTAAAGAAGTTACAACAGAAATCTTTTGAAGGGGCGAACAAACCGGGAAAATACTTAGCTTGGCAACTTAAGGCTAGAAGAGAGAGAAGAATGATAACCAAAATAATAGAAGATGGAAAAGAGTTCGTTGATCCTAATGGAATAAAGAGATGTTTCTTCAAGTATTATGCTAAACTATTCCAAACAACTAGAGTTGATCTTGAGAAGATTAAAACATATTTAAAGGAGATTCCACTACCAAAAATAAGTAAGGAATACAAAGATTTATTAAATGGTCCAATTCAAAAAGAAGAAGTGATGAAGGCAATAGAAGAGACAAAGTTGGGGAAGGCGCCTGGGCCGGACGGATTTACAGCGAAATTCTACAAAAAGATGAAAGAAGAAATTTCCCCGGTCCTGGAAGCTTTAACCAACGAAATAAGAGAAAACAAAAAGGTGCCGGACTCATGGAAAGAAGCAATTATTTCTTTGATTCCAAAGGAAGGACAAGATTCAACAAATGTAAAGAACTACAGGCCAATATCTCTTTTGAACAACGATTATAAAATCTTTGCAAAAATTATTGCAGAAAGGGTGAAAAACTATTTACAAACGGTAATTTCTGAAGATCAAGCGGGCTTTTTACCCAAAAGGCAGATTAGAGACAATGTAAGAATAGTAATGGACGCAATTGAATATTATGAAAAGCACCCAGAAAAAGAAGTAGCTTTTCTGTTTGTTGATGCAGAAAAAGCTTTTGACAATCTTAATTGGAATTTTATGCACCAGATGATGGAAAAGATTGAAGCGGGACAACATTTTAGAAATTGTATTGAAGCTATCTATTCTGAACAAAGAGCTAAAATAAATGTGAATAAAGAACTGACAGATAACTTCAAAGTACAGAAAGGAACAAGGCAAGGTTGTCCGTTATCACCGTTATTATTTATCTGGGTATTGGAAATACTTTTACAAAAAATACAGTACGATCAAGAAATAAAGGGCTTGACACATAAAGGACACCAATACAAATATCGAGCATTTGCAGACGATGTAATGTTTATGGTGGAAAACCCAACAGAAAAATTGACATTGCTTTTTCAAAAAATAAAGGAGTTTGGAGAATTGGCCGGCTTTTACGTAAATAAGAATAAAACAAAACTTATATGTAAAAACATGATCAAACAAAAACAAGTGGAACTACAAGAACTGGTACAATGTGAAGTAGTTAAAAAAACAAAATACCTTGGAATTGAATTAACGGCAAAAAATATAGACCTATATAAGAATAATTATGAGAAATTATGGACTAAGCTGACTCAAGATTTTAAGAAATGGGATAAAATGAACTTATCACTGATGGGAAGAATATCAGTTATAAAAATGAATGTCCTACCACGTTTGATGTTCCTGTTCCAAACAATACCAATTCTGCATAAAACGGATTTGTTGGCCAAGTGGCAACAAGAGTTGTCAAAATTTGTTTGGGCAGGCAAGAAACCAAGGATCAAAATGAAAATACTTTGTGATGCCAAAGAAAGAGGAGGTCTACAAATGCCAAATCTTAGACTATATTATGAAGCGGTTTGTCTAACATGGATGGATCAATGGGTGAAGCTTGAAAATGACAGATTGTTGGGGTTGGAAGGGCATGATTGTAGATTTGGCTGGCATGCATATTTATGGTATGACAAGATAAAAATGGACAGTTTTTTTAAACTTCACTTGGTGAGAAAAGCTTTGTATATGGTATGGACAAGATATAAGAAGTACCAGAGTGACTTAAGACCATTGTGGATTGTACCAGTAGAAGTGTTGATATCTTACTCAAGACAGCGAGGTAGAGACTGGTTGCCATATAGAGATTTAATTAAAAAAGAGGGAACAGAGTGGGTAATGAAAAAGCAGAATGAAATTGAATATGAATATGAGTGGTTGAAATATATGCAGATTTATGATCTTTTTAGATCTGACAAAAAAAACTATGGTTTTAGAGAGGAAAAAAATGAAATTGAAAAGGTATGGGAGAGTGGAGGAGGAAAAAATATTTCTAAAATGTATAAGGTGTTGTTAAAATGGTATACTGAAGATGAAACTGTTAAAGAACAAATGTTAAAATGGGCTATTAATATGAATAAGGAAGTGGATATGGAAACTTGGGAATATTTGTGGAAAAACTCTATTAAGATCTCGACATGTACTAATGTTAAAGAAAATTGTTATAAGATGATGTATAGGTGGTACATGACACCTAAGAAAATTGCAAATATGAATCAAAATATGTCAAACAAATGCTGGAAATGTAAGAGGCATGAGGGCTCATTTTATCATATGTGGTGGACTTGTGAGAAAGCTGTAGACTTTTGGACAAAAGTCCACAATGAAATGCAAAAAATACTGAAATGTTCTTTTAAAAAAGCACCGGAAATTCTGCTTTTGGGACTCAAAATGGAAGAAGTCAATACGACTAAAAAAACTTTACTCTGGTACCTGATAGTGACAGCGAGAATGATTTATGCTCAGTTTTGGAAGATAGAAAAGGTACCAGAGGTTGAAGAATGGATACAAAAAGTTCTGTTCATGGCACAAATGGATAAGATTACAAAAAAACTGAATAACAAAGAAGACGATGAGTTTTTTGGAGAATGGAATGACTTTAAAATTTATCTGGAAAAGAATTGGGATGTGAAACAAAAAAACAAAACTTAATATGTTTAGATCAATATTAAGTCAAACGATGTTATCTTTAGATTGTAATGATGAAAAACTGATATTGTTGATGATATGAAGTAATTTGGAGCAGGGGTGGAAGCATTGTGGGAAGCCATTGGAGGGAGGGGAGGAACTGGGAATGGGGTAGACAATTGATAGAATGAAATGTTTTATATGTTGTATTCCTGAGAAAATAAAATTTGTTTACCAAAAAAAAAAAAAAAGAAGATAGACAGGCACTGAGCAGCAAATTAACATGTAACATAGTGAAGATGTGCAAAGACAAAACTAATAGCAAGCTAAGGTTGTAAGGTCAACAGCTGTAAAGCAATAAATATGTCAAAATAGCAGATAAATTTGTAAAAGTGTCTTTTCTAATTGTGGGAAGTAAACTGATACTCTCCATTCTGTCCTCTCAGGTGTGGGGGTCACTTAACAGCATTTTTTTCTTGTTTTGAGGTGGATGCAGCAAAACCTCCCAATATTCCTTGCATTACATTCAGTATTCTAATATACTATTCTGAAAAAGAAATAAACTAAAATACAGAGGATGTATAGTCCTTCTAGTTGAGAATACATATGTGAGGACTGAATGAGTTAGGATATGTAACCAGATAAGAAACCAATATCCCCGTTGAGTCCTGGGGAGGTTTTTGTTCCAAATGTTGTAATAATTTGTAATTCAGCAGTTTCCCTTTCCATTCTGTTCCTGAAGTTCCTTTGTAACAAAACAGCTACTTTGAGGTCACCCATTGAATGTCCTGGAAGGCTGAGGTGTTCTCCTACAGGTTTCCCAGTCTTGTGATTCCTGATGTCTGATTTGTGCCCATTTATCCTCTGGCGTAGGGTTTCTCCTGTTTGTCCTATGTAGAGGACCGAAGGGCATTATTGACATTTAATGGAATATGCAATTTTAGAAGATGAGCAAGTGAATGAACCTCTGATGGTATAGTTGATGTTGTTAGGTCCAGTGATTGTGTTGTCTGGGTGTATGTGGCAGCAAAATTGGCATCTGGGTTTATTGCAAGCTCTGGTCCCAGTCTCCATGTTCAAATTAGATGTTGAATTATTGTGGGTGAATAGTTGTTTGAGACAGGGGGGCTGTCTGTGTGCAAGAAAAGGTTTGCCCCCCAGTACTTGTGAAAGAGAACTGTCATTATCCAGTAGAGGTTGTAAGTCATTGACAATATGTTGAACTGTTTTGAGCTGAGAGCTATGTGACCACTAGTGGTGTTTGACTTGGGTTATGACCACTAACCCATCTTTGTACTTTAATGAATGTAATATACAGTTTTGAGCATATATAGTTGTGAATTGTTGATAATCTTCCCTTGGTGGGTGTTATTTTTGGCTGTACTTGTACACTAAGGGTTCCCTATTGTCTTTGACAGTGTTACTACTGTGCCTGATAAATTCCAGTGTCCATTTTGTTTGCAATTTTTCCCAGTTTCTGGATTACTCTCTTGGGAGTAATAGCCCCAGGAATATAGATCCTTAATCTGCACCAAGCCTGTGGCTCTGAAAATGTGCGCCATTTTTCTGATTCTCCTGAGGGCGTTTCTATGTCAACATGGTGTTTCTATATCAACATGTTCAATTAATACGTCCCACCTTTCTCATCTGTCAGTTTTCTATCATGTTTTCTTACTTTATAGGCCTGGCTGTATCTCTTCAACTGCTACATGGAGACATTGAACAAATCAGAAGGGAGTATACATCCATGTTTACCCATGGTATATCGATAACAAGGAAGCTGGGTTTTTCCAATATTATCATGCCTGGTAAGTTAAAAAAACAAAAACAATTCATGGCCTTTAGAGGGGTTCTTTAGTGGGTCTAAGGCATATAAAGCCATATTGTCAGCTGCTGTTGTGCAATAGGCCACGTGCCTTCCTTATTCCACATCTTATCCTATAAAAAATAAGGGCTGTGACAGTCTGCATAAGATGAGTTTTTCTGGACTGAAATAAAGAGAATCCCCACTTAGAGCATACTGCAGTAATAGTCCCTTGATTGTAGAAAGTGGTGTATGATGATAGGAAGATTCACATTTTACTCGGATTCCTCTTATCGTTTGGTATTTTGTATGTGCAAGTATTTGAGACTATTGAGACTAAACTTATTGTCTGTGCAGTTAAAAGTTGGTAGGTAAAACCGTAGGGAAAAGGAGTCTGTGGCAGGTTAAACAAAAGAAAACAGATTCAACCTAAGTAGCAAGCAGTTGTCTCCCAGGGAAGCATGTTTTTTAATAAAGAATTACTTTTTCCAATATTTCCCTAAATTTTAACATTCTACATGATGAAGAGTGAGATTAGCTGATTCAGATATATTCCAGTACAAACAATATTAGCCAATAAAGTGTGTTCTGGTATATTAAGCTAAATATTATTAAACTTTCAGAGTTAATTCATTTTTAGTTCTTTTTCCCTTTAGGCTTATCTTTATCATAGTTCCATCTGACTTTAAGGAGTTTGGGGGCAGCTTCTCCCAAATTAGATTCAGAGTCTTCTTCTGAGGAGCTGCCCGCGGTAGAGCTGTTTCCTGATCCAGTTCTGCTGTACTGTTCTTCTGCATTGTTCTCCTCCACTTTTCCTTCTTTTTTGGTTTTTTGGTGGTGCGCCAAAAATGCTTTAGCTTTTATAACAGAGTCTATTTTTTATTTTTTCTCTTTGAAGTTGAAGATAAAACCCTCGCAAAATTCATCTGTAGGGAGTGGATTTTTTCTGTAGAAATGTTGTCAATTTTTTGTATTGTTGTCTCGTCTTTCTTATCTCAAATGGAATGTCTTTTAAAATTCTTATTTCTTCACCTTGGATTTTTAGAGTAATCCCGTTAGTCACTTTGAGTATAGCATCTCTGATAGACCTTTTGGAGAATTTCACAAATATTTCACTAGGTAGCTTATTTTTCTTGATGTTGTCTGGATAAGTCCAGTAGACTACATCGATTTCGCTTTGTATAAGTTCCGCTTTAAGGTCTACTACCTGTGCCTAGGTGTGACTTAAAATTTCCTTCAGGTTTTCCCTTTTTTGTTCCGGAATACCTTGAAATCTCAGGATAAATGATGATTTTTCCATTTGTAGTTGTAACAGCTGTTGTTTATGAGAGACTATCTCTTTTTCCACTGCCTCCAGTCTCTGTTTCAACACTTTCGTCTTAGCATCGACTTTTCTCACTGACTTTGCTGTATTCTCTGTTTTTATATTGACTTCTTTTAGCTGTTTTTGGAGAATCTCAAAGTTATTATTAAGATGAGTCATCTGGTCCAGTAGGGGGTGCAGTGGTTAACATGCTTGGAAAGTCTATGGTTGCTTCCTGTTTGGAAGCTGACACTGTTGAGCTGGCAGTTCCTGAAGGAGAAGGTCTTACTTTCAGCACCATTTTTTTAGTCCGATGAAGGATTGTTTACATTAAGAGAAAGTTCAAAAAAGTATCTGTAGGTTTATTCAATCACAATTTTTAACCAATCAGCACTCTATTTGTGCTAAACAATGCTTTTCAATCAGCTTCCCCCCCTCCACCTCTTACAGTTGCTGCTTTTTTCCTCCCGGGATGAGACCAGCTCAGTTCCTTCCGCTTTTGAATTTAAAGGGTAGGGGGAAGCTGTCCGCTTAGATTTTTGTCTGGATTAAAAGCATATGGATTCACTCTTCATCGGCTGCTTGCTTCAGTAAGGTAGGGAGACCTTTAAAGTACATGGTTTCCTGTTCGCCTGTCCCGGTGTGCATTTCTGTCACCATTGCTGGTCTCACAGCGGTGGGACCTGTTGGGGTAAAGAGGAGCCTCAATCCCTCGGCTGTGGCCTTGGGAGCGGCACCTTTCACGCCCCAGGCTACGGGCCCCCTGCAAGGGCCCGGGGGGGACCAGAATAGTCCGGTACCCCTCCCAGCCACTACGGTGACAGGTCGTGTTCATTGGAGCTCGATGAAACGCAACCGTCAGTGATTTGCCAAAACCGGAAGCCCCAGGGAAGCATGTTTTGATATTGAAAGGTGAAACCAAGGGTTTAGGTTACCATGATAGGAAGTAAGAAGATCCAGTGAGTAGTGTAGCATAGCATTAAAACATTTGATTTTAGTTCCCTGGGAGGCAGCCTAGCCTGAGTTTTCCTTGCTTAGACCAGGAATATTTGGCAACTGTTCTAGGAATTGTACCTCTGGCAATCAAATAGATGGTATCTATAAATCATTAAATCCAGACATAGCAAATACTGGCAGGAGTCTGCTTTTTTTCCTGCTGCTGGGTGTCTTGGGGACCATTACACATCTAAAACCCAGATTTATACAGTTATATTCAGTTTTTGGAGGTTTTGGGGGTTTTCTTAATCCTAAAGTTCTTCATTGGGTTATAGTAGCTAGAAAGTATTCTGTTTGGGAGTTTGTGTGTATTTGTAAATAACACTTCGGGCTAAAAAGTTAATCATCTGTCTCTTATTCTAACCATAAAACCATTCAGATGACACAGTATCTTCTTTACAGTGCCAATAACAAAACATCAATTTGAAGTTCAGCACTCTTCATTGGCAGTCAAGACTCAATATGTAAATAAAACTTTCTGACATCTCATCTAATAATATGAAGATGCTCCTTCTCCCCCCCTCAAAATATGTTACAAGAAAAAAAATCACAAGACATAAAGCAGTAAATCTGGTTCAGACATTATAATTTTGCAAAATACGAACGCTAGCTGCTCTTGAATATTCTTTCTATTATTGCCAACTTTCCCCAGCTTTATATTGGTGCAGTCTGTAATTTAAGATAATGATATCAAGCACACTGGAAAATGATGTAGCTGATGCTAACGAGTAACAGCTTTCCCTGAACTCCAGGCATTCCCATTAGCTGTATGCCATTCTTTGCTAGCAGTGCATGATACAGCAGCCCTCTGCTGTGCATTGTCGCATTTTGTTCCAACTGCTATAAATAATCTTCCCTCTTTTGACTTCCCATTGTGAAACAAAGTGGATGCGCTATGCCACTATGAAAATGCACATTACAGTCAAGCCCTGTGTGATCAGCCACAGCAGACGTCTGCTGCTATAAGGGACTGTGCTGCTTTGGGTGAAAGATTCTTTTCTTATGTATAGATTTCAGCATGGTGTTTCATCAGCTTGGTAATTGGCTGCATGCTATTGTTTGCATAACTGCTTGAGTTTGGTCATGTCTTCTAGTGTGGCAAATGAGATTTTTATTGAATGGTGATCATCGTACTTCAGTAATGACAAATTTCAGCTCTTGTAGAAAATGAACTGCAAAAAGAATGCCTTTTGATCCACAGCCCTTCTAGTGCCTTGATCCATAAACCAACAGAGAGTTGACTGGAATAAGATAGCTTCTGCAGAATGTTTTGAAAATGCAGCCTTAAATATGTCCTCTGGCTGGGAATCCTCTCCTGATAACTGTGTCACTATTAAATTATGTGGGGACCACAGACTACCTTAGCTCATTTTCTATGCAATGCTTTTCCAAGAACAAAACAGCAATTAGAATCCTGTGGCTGATGTGGTTCCAACGATTATGACAGGTTTCCTGTCTGTACTTCCATTTTTTAAAATCACATATGTTTAATTCATCTAAGACCTTAAGGATAGCACATGTCATTCTAGGCTTTATCCATCACAACATCCCTGTCAGTCCTAAGCTGAAATAGGTTGAATGATTAAGGTTTTCCAACAAGGTTTTCATTGTTCATTTGAACCCAGGTCTGCCCAGTCTGACACTCTCTGAACCAATTTGCCACACTAGCTCCTTTTCCTTGTGGTACTTACTTCCCTTAAAATGCTGGTTCTTGTTCTACTTCTTATTCTTCTCTCTAAGCATCCAGATGAGGTCCAGATCTTTATCCAGTAAAGATCCTCTCTCTGGTCTAAGCCACAGGAAGCAAAATTAAATAAAAATTATCCTCTTACATCAGTGCAGCACATATTCTGCGTTTCTGCTTAGGAAACTGAGCAGTTAGCACACCACAGTTCAGTTGCTGGATATTGAGCACCATCTACAGGGGAGTATTTTTATCAGACTTTGCTGAGGGGGAACTGTACATGATTTAAATTCTGTTTTGCTTAAGTCTTTGTGTCATTTTTCTTTCTGGTCATTTATTAAATCTTGAACCATAAGAGCAAAAAGAACATACATTGTCAGGTCTTTCCAACTGAGCTGCAGCTCTATTGTTTGTTTGTTTTTTTAAATAGGCTAGTGATTTTCAAAAAAAATTTTGAAGCTTGGAGATTTTCAAGGTCTAACAGTGTGTTAATAAGAGTCATGAAGTTAATTAGCTGTCACTTTATATATTTAGAATACATTTCTCATTTGAGTTCCTTTGCTTAGATTTGTGTTTATGCAACTGAAAAAGTGAGATGTTGTTGTCCATAAAAAATCCCTTTTGCAGTGTGTGTTATTCAAGAAAATAATGTTTCATGCTTTTTCAGTTCTCTGAGTGATATGAATTTCCACAGGCAGCCCTTTTATGAGTTCTGTTTTCTTGTGAGGACAAAGTAGCAGACACATAATTGTGTGTGAGTGTGTGTGTCTTTTCCCCCTAGCTGGGACCTCAAATACTGCTTATTATACAGAACAAAACACTACAGAAGAATCAGGAGAAAGCTTCTGAGTAAAGAACAAGCCTTTCTCTCTCTCAGATCTTCCACTCAGCTTTAGGCTATGACCCTCAGTTGCCCTTCAGCTTGTGCCTCTGGGCATGCCCAGGCCATAAGTACCTCTACACCAGAGGACAAACTAACTCATCCAGTTCTTATTCAACTGCAGCTGGCCAGCTAGCAGGA